GACACCTGTATATCCATTTTTTTTGGCTACTCTCTTCACAATAGCTAAGAAATAGAAACTATCTAAATGTCCCCCAACTGAGGAATGAATAATTAAACTCTGGTCCATCTACACAATGAAATTCTACTCAGCAGTAAGAAAAAATGAAATTATGAAGTTTTCAGGTACATGGCTGGAACTAAAGAGTGTTATACTAGGTGAAGCAACACAAATGCAGAAAATCAGGTGATGTGTATTCTCCCTCATTTGAGGATTGTAGCACCAATCCCCTATATGTGAGTATATAAATTCTGATATAACACCAGGAGCCAGGAAAAGGGAATGACTACATGGAAATAAAGGACAAGAAAGAACCTGAAAGGGGGATAGTATTGAATAGACTTTCCCAGGCAAGAGGTGAGGAAAGTAGGAGTATTTGGCATGGAGAGGAGGGTGGGATATGCAAGGGGCCATGGTGTAGGGGAGGGAGCGAAGTCTGGAGAGGGAGAATCATGGAAAGTGGGGGATGGTGGGAATAATGGCAGAGCTATGACTAAGGAAGGAAGGCAAATGGGAGAAAAAGGGTAGAGATGAATGAATCTTCAGTGGCTAGGAAACCTAGAGGGAAAAATGATGCCCTTGAAACTTCATGAGAAATGCACATACTGTGTCTGAACATTAATGCATATGTTTACCTGGGGCCTATTTGGTAAGGAACACAGTTCCAGACAGAAAAGACCTCCTGTTGAGTAGTTGGTGATGGTGGTCCACCAGACTCCCAATATAACACAGGTTATTGCAATACCTTTTGGTTATCTCCCATAACTAGTAGATAAGAACTTACTGTTGAAGATAGGACATAATTAGGACACAGGTCTTGAAACAATGGAGCAGGAACTGAACTGGAAGCCTTCTAATGGATGGTTGGCTATCATGATGCTAGATGATGATATGCAAACTGCTAAGGGAGAAAAACAAGCAGCGGTCCAGCCTCGCCATATAGCCTAATAGTGACTGGCATGACAAACTACCTCTATTGGTGCAGTAGTGGCATTGTTATCTGGGACTAATAGCTATCTAATTGGACTTAAAGCCCTCTCAATGGGAGTGAACTTATGGGTGGCACTGTAAACTCAGCCAAATATACATGGTAAGAGAAGACATAGATCATAGAGAAAAACCTATCTCTTTCATATCTCTCTACACAAATGTGATCAAGTAGCCTTTATTCCAGAGATGCACGAGGATGGTTCAATATACACAAATCAATAAACATCATCAGTCATATAAATGGACTCAAAGACAAAAACCACATCCTTATCTTCATAAATGTAGAATAGGCTTTCACCAAAATTCAGCATGCATTCATGATAAAACTTTTTAAAAGGAATTGGACTGGAAGGAGCATACCTCAACATAATTAAAGCTATGTACAACAAACCCACAGCCAACATCATTTTAAATGGAAAAAAACTGGAGGCATTCCCACTAAAATCAGGAACTAGACAAGGATGCCCACTATTTCCACTCTTTTTCAGTATAGTGCTAGAAACTCTGGCTAGAGCAATAAGACAAGAAATTAAAGGAGTACTAATTGGAAGAGGTCAAATTACCCTTTTTGGAGATGATATGAAACTACATCTAAGAGATCCCAAAATTTCTACCAGAAAACTCCCAGAACTAATCAACACTTTCAGGAAAGTGGCAGCTTACAAAACTAATCTACAAAAATTAATAGCCTTTCTATATAACAATAGCAAGCAATTGGAGAAGGGGTATAGGGAAACTCTCCCATTCACTATAATCGATATATCCTAAGATTATATATATATAAGACATCAAAGATCAAAGATCTCTGCAATTAAAATTTTAAATCTTTAAAGAAATATATTGAGGAAGACACCAGAAGATGGAAGGGCCTCCTATGCTCACAGATTGGAAGAATTAATAATGTGAAAATGACTGCACATGTGAACTTGTGGCAATGGTGGCATCCAGCACAGGAGCCATGTCAACTCAATTAAACAAAGGCCCCAAAGGGAGGAGCAAAATATATGGGGGCCTGGCACTACACTGAGAAATATTGGAGACTCATTGATGTTGGATGGGTGAGGGAGAATATGACATATATATGATTACCAGATGGACTGAGTAGATTCCAGTGGATGAATTTATACTGAGGAATATTTGGGTACAAATGCTTGAATGAATAGGACTTAATATGTATGGCAGAGTACATGAGGTCCAGTGAGGTGATGGGGGTGGAATATGTCGGGAAGAGGTCTAAAATTGATTAAGAAGTGTACAAAATTTCAAAAGCTCAGCAAAAATACTAAAAAATGTACATGTTTTTAAAATTGCCTACAATTGAGATTCAAAATTCCAATTTTCTTTAATAATTTTCAGTTGAATAATGATAAAAATTGACCTGAAATAATGTTTCATCATATGCTTTTAACATCTGTCAATCAAAGTGCACTAATTCTTACATAAAAAGGAAAATACCACTTCATATTGACAGACTCCCTGGAAAGCAGATGTGTTTGTTTTAAATGAACTTCTCAGTATTCACTTGGGAATGAGTAAATGACCCCTGATGATCTGAATTCACACTTGAATCCAGAGCCTCTTCAGAGACTGATCCTCAGTGATAAACAGTGATAGAAGGGGACAGTTTAGCAGCAATAAAATCATAACAATCTTGATATTCTTACTTTGAAATGAATTCCTATTTGAAGAGGTAAGAGTTGGAGTTCACAGCAGTGCCCTTTATTGATTACATATTAGGGTTTGCTTAAAAATATTTTTGTGGCTCATATCCAGGTTAATGAAGTAATTTTGCTAAGCTTTGATAACGTTATAACTACCATGTTTAAGAATACAGATATTATCCTGGAAAATAAAATTTGAGCTACCAAAGAACTAATGTCAAATTTTATAATGCAAACAAATGCCTAATTTATAAAAGAAAGAATTGGAATACGGTAAATCGGGTATATTGTTTTGACCTTTTACCTTTGCGGAATACTTTATTACTTGAAAATGTACCTGAATTTATAAACTACAGTTGATAAACAAGTCAGGTAGAATTCAGCAATCAAATAAACAAAAAAACCTTTCTCCAAATCAACTTATTTTTCTATACTAAAATTCCTGTGAGTATTCAGGCATAACTCAGGTTTCAAGAGACCTTATTTACACATCTACTGATGAAATTAGAACCCAGCATAGTCTTCAGCCTTACATAAACTTACCACTTGGTAATTGAAATATTTTGATGGCTTACTGTCAGTAATATCTTGCGGGAAGGTCTGCTCTGTTTATGAACTAAATTCTCTAGCCTAACAGGCAACAGCTGTTTCAGACATACACAGGATATAATGTCAAAAGTCTTGAGAGATGAGAGTGAATGTAGCCCTGGCTGGATGGGCCAGGGTGTTCTTCTTAACTTTTAGGTTTAGTATGTACTCACCAGTGACTGTGTTAAAAATCACATGGTTTTATTCCACCACATTCCTGTTAGAAAACAGTATTATGTTAGGAAAGATTTTGGAGTGTCTGAATAAACAAGTGTGAATAATATTGTTCTAAATACTATACATAGTTTACATTGTAATTTTATTCATATTTAAAATGACTTAATAAATCAATGACTTCATTAGAAGTATTAACATTATGAAACAAATTTACAATAGATAATTTTATTTGTAATTATTGTGGATTACTTTCTAATCTTACAAGTTGCAGTTAGAAAATTTATTTACATTTTTATAATTACAATATTGCCTTGATTAACTAATACACTGCATGAGCTATGTCACTAATGAAGTGCTGGTTTATACATTAACCACAAGGAACTTGAAACACTGCAGGTTCTTCCAAGTTTCTATGTGCTCTCAACTTCATTGAGACTCTCATAAGTAACCTAGTCACCGAAGGATGAGATTGACGTCAACCTTCATATGTTCATGTCCTACTCCACTACTGATGTATTCTACATTGCTTTACATTGCCAAACTGCATTTTCTCAATGAAACAGAAATAATAAAAGTACTTAATACTACTTCATGGACATGAAAGAATATA